CCGGCAGCAGCCGCATCACTGCCCCAAACCTGAGCTAGCTCGGGCTGCTGCTCCTCATTTTCTTCCGTTGCTGGTGTTTCACAGTCTTCCGGATTCTCTCCTAGAGGAGCTCACAGATGTGTCCACGCCCATCTCCACCATCCACTCTCCTGCCCTCTTCCTAGTGGCTGACTGTTGGTTATCCAACTTTTTTAAAAAATATATTCATTTGATTTATTTGAAAGAGTTACAGAGAGAGGTAGAGGCAGGGAGAGAGGTCTGCCATCCACTGGTTCACCCCCCAGATGGCCGCAATGGCCAGAGCTGAGCACCGATCCAAAGCCAGGAGCCAGGAGCTTCCTCTGGGTCTCCCACATGGGCACAGGGGCCCAAGGACTCAGGCCATCTTCTACTGCTCTCCCAGGCCATAGCAGAGAGCTGGATCAGAAGAGGAGCAGATGGGACTAGAACTGGTGCTCACATGGGATGTCAATGCTGCAGGCCAGAGCTTTAACCTGCTATACCACAGCACCAGCCGCCGGTCATCCAATTTTTTTAAAATATTTATGTATTCGAAAGGCAGTTAGAGAGAGGGAGAGATAGGTAAATAGATACATAGGGGCCAGTTCTGTGGTGCACTGGGTTAATCCTCCGCCTGCCGCACCGGCACCCCATATGGGCCCGAGGATTCGAGACCCGGCTGCTCCTCTTCCCATCCAGCTCTCTGCTGTGGCCTGGGAAAGCAGTGGAGGATGACCCAAGTGCTTGGGCCCTGCACCCACGTGGGAGACCTGGAAGAAGCACCTGGCTCCTGGCTTTGGATTGGCATAGCTCTGTACATTGTGGCCATTTGGGGAGTGAACCAACAGAAGGAAGACCTTTGTCTCTCTCACTGTGATTCTACCTGTCAAATAAATAAATTAAAAAAATAGATAGATAGATAGATGGTAGAGATCTTCCACCCACTGGTTTATACCCCAAAAGGCTGCAATGGCTGGGGCTGGGCCCAGCTGAAGCCAGGACCAGGAGCTCCATCCGGTCTCTCACATGGGCAGCAGGGACTCGGTACTTGAGCCGTCACCTGCTGCCTCCCAGGCACACCAGCAGTAAGCCAAGTCGGAAGTGGGACTCGATCCCAGGCACTTTGTGTGCGATGCCGGCGTCCCAAGCAGCAACTTAAGCCTGCTGCACCACGAGGCCCACCTGTCGACCTCTTAGGTTTTTTTCTTTTACAACAAAACCGGTGTTTTCTAAACTGGCGTGCTAAGAAGCGTCCCCAGACTGCGGGGTAGAGACACAGGTGACAGCTCCCGCCTCAGGCGCAGGGCACACCCATGGTCCCTGTTGTGGTCCCCTCTGTGGGCTGCGGTTGTTTTGGTGGAAAGAATTTTAGAATCCACGCCTGGTGTTTTCATGATGGGACTTTTCCATGATCTTTCCATGTCATGGATTTCAAAGTTCTGTTGCACCAAAATGAACTTATGTTTTAATTCTATTTTTCCATAGTTTTAAAAACATTTATTAGGGGCCGGCACTGTGGTGTAGTGGGTTAAAGCCCTGGCCTGCAGCGCCGGCATCCCATATGGGCACTGGTTCTAGTCCCGGCTGCACTACTTCCAATCCAGCTCTCTGCTGTGGCCTGGGACAGCAGCAGAAGATGGCCCAAGTCCTCGGGCCCCTGCACCCATGTGGGAGACCTGGAAGAAGCTCCTGGCTCCTGGCTTCAGAAGGGCTCAGCTCTGGCCATTGTGGCCATCTGGGGGGTGAACCAGTGGATGGCAGACCTCTCTCCCTGCCTCTACCTCTCTCTGTAACTCTTTCAAATAAATAAAATAAATCTTTTAAAAAAATCTATCTCTTTCAAAAAATATTTATTAAAGGCAGAGTTTTACACACACACACACACACACACACACACAGAAAGAGAGAGGGAGAGGGGAGGGGGAGGGGGAGGGGGAGGGGGAGAGGGAGGGAGGGAGGGAGGGAGGGAGGGAGGGAGGGAGGGAGGAAGAAATTTTCCATCAACTGGTTTACTCCCCAAGTGGCCACGATGGGCAGGAGCCTGGAGCCCCACCTGGTTCTCCAAGCGCTTGGGCCGTCTTCTGCTATTTCCCAGGTGCATGAGCAGGGAGCTGGGTCAGAAGTGGAGCAGTGGACTCAGGCCTGGAACTGGTGCCCACGTGGGATGCCGGCGTCGCGGGCAGCAGCTTCACCTGCGGCGCCCCAACTCTGGCCCCTTTGCAGATTTTGAAGGACCTTCCTCCGCGGTTGTGATCCACTGGGGTTGCCGCCGAGTGCGTCTGCCACGTGGACGAGGTCGTGGGAGCTCCAAGAGGTCGTCCGGGTCCGAGGACAGCCAGGCACAGGTGGAGGAGACGCTCCCGGGACCCCACTGTGCCTCTGGCCCTGCGACCTCAGAGGCACAAAGGCTCAGCAACCTCAATCCCAGGCCACGGAATACTCTTCTTGTTTGGATTTTTTTCTCAGTGATTTCAAAAACATGAAAATCATTCTTGGCTGACAAACCACGCAAAAACAGGTGGTGTGGGGTAGGCACTTGGCCTCGTGGCGGAGGTGCCCACGTCCCACAGCTGAGTGCCTCGGTGCCAGCCCTGGCTCTGCTGCTGACGCCGGCTCCCCGCTCATGCACTTTCTGGGAGGCAGCAGTGGTGGACCAGGTAGTTGGGCCCCTGTCACCCACGTGGGAGGCCTGGATGGAGTTTCCGACCCCTGGCTTGACCTGTCGCAGGCATTTGGGGAGTGAAGCAGCATGAACCAGACAGGGATCTCTCTCTCTCTCTCTCTCTCTCTCTCTCTCTCTCTCTCAGCCTCTCAAATTCACCACATTCAGCAAAAACAGAAAAGCAGGTGGGGAGCCAGATCTGGTCCATAGGCCAGCGTTTGCCAAGGCCAGCTCCAAGGAGACGACTGTGCCCAGGGCCCACGCCTGCCTTCCTCTCTCTCTCTCTCTCTCCCCCTCTCTCCCCATTTCTTTCTTTCTCTCATGTGCATGGAGAAGGCAGGACCACACGTCCCCTGAGCAGTGCCAGGCACACATGGGCAGTTGCCGTGTCAGACATCACAGTAACAGGAGCTACAGTGGCACCTGCCTCCCCAGACTGCTCTCTGCAGTGAAGGTAACACCAACAGAACCCATGGGTAAGGTCCCCCCTGCGTAACAGATTCTCTGAGTCCTGGTTAGGGACCAAGCACCACAGACGCAGGGACACCAGGATGAACCAAGCAGACGAGGCTTCTGCTCTCATGGGGTTCACTTTCCTCTGGGGGAGACAGGCAGTGAACTGGTCAACAAGGAACTGGATGTCAGGTGGGGCTCGGTGCCTGGGAGAAGGCGTCATGGGGCACAGGGCAGGCAGGGGGATGGTCGTTACACCACGTCGGTGGTCAGGAAATGCAAAGTTGACCATGGACAGAAAGGCAGGGGGGAAGCCATGCACATCCCAGGAGAAAGAACATTCCAGACTGAGGGAACAGCGCAGGGGCAGGGAGAGACGCTGGGGAGCAGAGGGCGGGCCAGTGAGCCCTCGCGGTGATTGGCAGGACCCCGATTGTGTTCCCAGACCCATGGAGAGCAAGAGAGGGCTCTGAGCAGAGAGATGGCGAGGTCTGGCTCATGAGGTCGCCCATGTGTGGGAAGCTCCATGGTGACTGTTACACAAAGGGTTCTCGCTGCTGTGGGTGCTGGACCTGGGGCGGGGGAGCCCTGGCTCCTGCTGCACCTTCATGAGCCTCCCGGGTGAGGACCTGCAGAGCTTTGGAGAGTGACTGGCAGCAGAGGGGAGGGACCAGCGAGGACGGGCAAGCCAGGCACAGACTCAGGGGCCCCACATGGCTCCCTCCTCTGACCTCAGCAGGTGCACCCTGGAGAGCCCTGGGGGATGAGGAACAGGACTCTTGTGCCTCCCAGGGCTGGGTGGAGCCCATGGGGCTGGACGCCCTGGGGTCCACAGTCCCTGATTTTTTTTTTTTTTTTTTTTTTTTTTAGGAATAATTTATTTTGAAAATCAGAGAGGGAGAGAGAGAGAGATCTTCCAGCTGTTCGGTCACTCCCTGGATGGCCACAATGGCTGGGGTGGGGCCAGGCTAAAGTCAGGAGCCAGGAGCCTCTTCTGTGTGTCCTACGTGGGTGGCAGGGACCCAAGCACTTGGGCCATCCTCTGCTGCTTTCCTAGGCCATTAGCAGCGAGCTGGATCAGAAGTGGAGCAGCCAGGATTCGAACCGGTGCCCATGTGGGATGCCTGCATCACAGGTAGCAGCTTAACTTGCTGTGCCACCATGCTGGCCCCCATCTTTTTTCTTTTAATCATCAAATATTGTGTCCTCTGCGTGAAGACAGTTTCACTTAAGAAATGCCTACGATCATTTCCTGAATCTGCTCCCATTCTCACCTCATTTTCTCAAAGTGTTCTTGAAATAATGATAGTAACATATTCAGGACCTTATGTTTCTAGGAGAGCCATGCCCACCTGGAGAAGGGAGAGTGACCTGTCACCCAGCCACGACCCCTGGTTCAAACATGACACTCGCCAGCAGCGGCAGCCTTGCTCCTTGCACCTGCATCTCCGGTTTCCTCGGATCCTGGAAGACCTTCAGGGCAGACCTGGCCGGAGAACCTGACCCTGAGCTTGGCTGTCAAAGAGCAGGTTGAAAGAGCTGCGTTCTCAAGAGTGCCACCTCTCCACACTGCTGGATTCTCCAAGTCCTGCCCCGAGCAAGCCGGGTCATTCTCTCCTGCGGCTTTGTCTTCACAGCCTGCCCCGTGCCCCAGCCCCGGGCTGAGCTGAGGGACTCCAGCAACAGGGTCCCTGGTCCTGCAGCTTTGGGGCCTGGGAAGGAGGGGCCATTAGCATGGGGTCAGGGCTCACAGGGCCCTGCAGGGAACCCAACATCTCCCCAAGACAGGGGTGTGCCCACTTTTTCCAGATGGGTTCGACTCTGGCTTATCCCCTCAGAAAGCGGAGCTGAGGGTATTAAGGGGTACTTAGGTCCTGAAGATGGGTTTAAAAAAAGATTTACTTATTTATTTGAAAGGCAGATTTACAGAGAGGCAGAGAGAGAGAGAGAGAGAGAGAGAGAGGAAGGGAGAGAGGGAGGGAGAGGGGTCTTCTATCCTCTGGTTCACTTCCCAAATGGCTACAACAGCTGGAGCTGTGCCTATCTGAAGCCAGGAGCCAGGAGCTTCTTCTGGGTCTCCCATGTGGTTCAAGGGCCCAAGCACTTGGGCCATCTTCTGCTGCTTTCCCAGGCCATAGCAGAGAGCTGGATCAGAAGTGGAGCAGCTGGGACTCGAACCAGCGCTGTAGGGGGTAGTTTTACCTGCCTTTCCTGCAGGAGCGAGTTCTCCCTTTCGTGGGACCAGAGTCATTACTGGAGGATCGGTGGGCACACAGCAAGGCTATCCTGTGCCCCCTGTCCTCTGCACATGCCCACTTGCCCTTCCAGCTTCCCCCATGTCATGAAGCAGCACAGGGCCCTCACCAGGTGTGGCCACCTGGCCTGGGACTTCCAGCCTCTGGAAAGGAGCCCAAGTCCACATCTCCCCTTATAGCCAACCCCACCACAGGTGTTCTGTTGTAGGAGGTGCATGAAGCCCGCTGTCTCTCAGGGCAGGGGGCAGGTGGAGGGTGGCCCTGGGCAGGAGAGGACTACATTCGCAGGGAAGGGGCGGGCAGGTGGATCCCAGGCTGGTGCATTGGCTGTTGTAGACTCCGTTTGCTTCCAGGCTGAAGATGCGATGCTTCAAAATCAGGTGTGGCAGTTAAGCTGCTCCTTGGGATGTTCCATTGTGCTTGGCTTATAATCCTGCCCCTGCTTCCAGCTCCAGCTCCCTGCTCACCTGCACTCTGGAGGCGGCAGAGTGGGTCCCTGCACCCACGTGGGAGACCCGGCTGGCAGTCTGGGCTCCTGGCTGCGGCCTGGCCCAGCCCCGGTCGCTGTAGGGTTTTTGGGCAGTGAGCCAGTAGATCGGAGATCTGTCTCTGTCTTGGAATAAAATAAGTAAATAAAAAATTCTAAACAAGTTTTTGATTCATGTTGATATGATAATAGTAAGGACATATCAGGTAAAACACAATACATTGTTAAGATCTGTCTCATTGGTGGGGACAACAAGGTTGCTTGCCCTGTGTTTCCCCAGCTCCTCCCTCGCTTGATGACACAGCTGGTGCACACTCGGGAGGTGCCTGCTCGCCTCTGCCATCTTTACCAGACTGGGCGCCTCTTGCGGGAGCAACTTGGAAGCCAGCGTGCAATGCCAGGCCTGGTAGAAACGGGGAGGGAGTGACTCCGTGCTTCTGTGGTGGGGGACACCCGAGGTTGTCCGTGTGCTCTCTCTGCAGTAGCACACCTAAGAGGAGACACCAGTGTGTGAGAAGCCCGGGGATGACGTCGGTCTTGTAAACAGGGCAGAGCTTTGAACTCTCTCCTTTATTCCTTTTTTTTTTTTGAGATTTATTTATTGCAGGCCGGTGGCACTGTGGCGTGGTGGGTAAAGCTGTCTCCTGCAGTGCTGGCATCCCATTTGGGCGCCGGTTTGAGTCCCAGCTGCTCCACTTCTGATCCAGCTCTCTGCTATGGCCTGGGAAAGCAGTGCAAGGTGGCCCAAGTGCACCTGTGGGGAGACCTGGAGGAAGCTCCTGGCTTTGGATTCGCCGTTGTGGCCATTTGGGGAGTGAACCAGTGAATGGAAGACTCTGTCTGCCTCTGCCTCTTTGTAACTGTGCCTTTCAAATAAATAAATAAATAAATAAGTAAATAAAAGAAAAATAGATTTCTTTATTTATGAAAGGCACAGTTATATATATATATATACACATATATATAAAACATAAAATACATAAAATACATAAAAAACATAAAATACATAAAACTTCCAATCTGCTAGTTCGCTCCCCACATGGCCACTGCTGGGCCAGGAGCACCAACCATGTCTCCCACCTGAGTGCAGCCGCCCAAGGACTTCAGCAGGAGCTGGATCGGGCTGGAACCATCACCCACGTGGGATGTCGCTAGGCCACAGCGCTGACCCCTGCTTTATTCTTGCTAGTTTTCTCAGGAGATGCTTGGCAAGACAAAGCCACCCTGGCAGCCGTGGGTGTGTACTTTTCACCCTGCTGCGCATGCGTGCTGCAGGATCCGGCTGAGGCTACAGTGGTCACACCTGCCCGACTGCAGCTAGGCCCAGGACCCGGTCAAACCCTAATTCATGCTCAGAAACCCCTGGCGGTTCCAAAAGCAATGAGATCAATCCACTGTAAAAGAGAAAGACAAGGAGCTGGGGGTCAGCCCTTGGTCAGGGTCCTGGAGGAAGAGGGGACGGGGCAGCGGCAGCTTCTTGCCTGCAGGTAACGGGCGTGGGGCAGAGGCGGTGAGCTGAGGGGCACAGTGTTTGCAGGAACCCGCAGGTGGGGACCGCGATTCTGGAAGGGAGCTGGTGCTCCTTGTCGACGTCCTTGCCTTGAGATGGAGGTGAGGGCCTGCGTTTGGGGCGGGGCTCAAGACCCTGCCCAAGGTTCAGCGCAAAGGTTAGAGACCCTGCTTCCGGCGGATGCACGCCCTGGGCGGCGCCCAACAAAGGCTCTGGGAGCTCAGGAACGAGTTGCAAGCTTCTGGCTTCGCCCTGGCCCAGCCCCGGCTGTTGGGGGCTTTTGGGGAGTGAGCCAGTGGATGGAGGATCTCTCTCTCTCTCTCTCTCTCTCTCTCTCTCTCTCTCTCTCTCTCTCTCTGCCTTTAAAAAATGATACACAGAGTTAGAGTGGGAGGCGGAGTGGGCCGCATGGATGGTCGTCAGCTCTTCCAGTTCTGCCACAGCTCATAGAAAGCCTCGCTGCTCTCATCGAGGGCAGAAAATCCTGGGAAAAACGAATTTCCTGAGGCTTGGGGCACACTCTGGTCAACCAGCGGGCCTTGCCGCCGGCCATTCTGTAAGCACAAAGGCACCGCGGACCGGAAAGCGCTCCCCTT